TCTTGTCAATGTATATTCTGAAACACGTATCATCTTGTCAGTGTATATTCTAAAACACATATCATCTTGTCAATGTATATTCTGAAACACGTATCATCTTGTCAATGTATATTCTGAAACACGCATCTTCTTGTCAATGTATATTCTAAAACACGTATCATCTTGTCAATGTATATTCTGAAACACGTATCATCTTGTCAGTGTATATTCTGAAACACGTATCATCTTGTCAATGTATATTCTGAAACACGTATCATCTTGTCAATGTATATTCTAAAACACGTATCATCTTGTCAATGTATATTTTGAAACACGTATCATCTTGTCAATGTATATTCTAAAACACGTATCATCTTGTCAATGTATATTCTAAAACACGTATCATCTTCTCGATGTATATTCTGAAACACGTATCATCTTGTCAATGTATATTCTGAAACACGTATCATCTTGTCAATGTATATTCTGAAACACGTATCATCTTGTCAATGTATATTCTGAAACACGTATCATCTTGTCAATGTATATTCTGAAACACGTATCATCTTGTCAATGTATATTCTGAAACACGTAACATCTTGTCAATGTATATTCTGAAACACGTATCATCTTGTCAATGTATATTCTGAAACACGTATCATCTTGTCAATGTATATTCTGAAACACGTAACATCTTGTCAATGTATATTCTGAAACACGTATCATCTTGTCAATGTATATTCTGAAACACGTATCATCTTGTCAATGTATATTCTGAAACACGTATCATCTTGTCAATGTATATTCTGAAACACGTATCATCTTGTCAATGTATATTCTGAAACACGTATCATCTTGTCAATGTATATTCTGAAACACGTATCATCTTGTCAATGTATATTCTAAAACACGTATCATCTTGTCAATGTATATTTTGAAACACGTATCATCTTGTCAATGTATATTCTAAAACACGTATCATCTTGTCAATGTATATTCTAAAACACGTATCATCTTCTCGATGTATATTCTGAAACACGTATCATCTTGTCAATGTAGATTTTTTACAAAGTAATATGTGAATTTAGATAGAGTTTGTCCAAAATGATTATCTTTCAGATCCTTTTTAATTTTAACAGATATCCCCATCCGTATATATCTAGATTCTTGATACTGAAATAAACATTACATGTTACCCAAATGCTTTTTTAATGTCTGATCAATGTTTTATGAATTGAAATGAGTTACTGTTAGGGCACCATACTATATAAAGGCGTTACCTTTTCTTTTTCGACGTCAGTTGTTTGTCTCTTTCTTTTAACAGAGCAGAAAATAGAGCCTCTGAATAGGTGGTCCTTTGTTTTTGAGGATAAGTTTAAAATTTTTGTGAATTCGTTTTTTTTCTTAAAATTTTCCCAGCATTTTTTTTCTTCCTTACGTTACCTGTATCCTTTTTCATATATTTGACCACAAAGTGACTTTTTCAGGTTGACGAAGGCTCTGGATTCAAGACAAAGACAATTTTGTGCATGCCAATTAGAAACGCAATTGGAGATTTAATAGGTTGGTCACCCGTTATTTCTGCGATGTAAATGCCTCGAAAGAGTCAGCTGCAATCAATTTCATATGAATTCACTGAGCTTTAATTGAAAACATTTAAAAATTCACTGGTCCTGCCAGAATATTAAATTCTGTTTTATTACTATGACGGCTTTGTTAATTTTTTGGTGTGCAATTCGACCACACAGCAAACACTTTTAATATTACCTGCACTGTCCTCGGTTAAGCTGAACTGCAATGCCCTGTTAACCTGCAACGTATTTTAAATTTGACTTATTTGAAGATCCGTTCATTGTGAAAAGTACTGTGTCGAAGAAGCAAAATCTCACGAATTTGTTTTAAATTCATTATGAATCCCGGTCACCATTGTTCTCTGCAAATCTAGTTAGCTATCCTCAAACCAAGGTCAGCGACAATTTCTTGTGGAAGAGTAATGCTGCCCTGGCTATTTTATGTCTCAGACCGAGACAAATTGATGCTCTTCTGTTGGCAAACTATTGAAGGAAGTATTTTCTCAGATGTAAAAGCCAAACATTGATAAAATGTTTTTTGAACTCGCCTTGAAAAAATTCCAAACTTATGAAAAAGAGGAAAAGTTGATTCCAGAAGATTCTCATTGAAAATAATTGTAGAATCCAGCGTCCCTCTATTTTTACTCACTACTCCCGTCTATTAAGAAAGATGTGTTTTCGAATATTGTAAGATATCGAATTTCGAAAATTTTCGAATATGCCAGATGACGTAATTTAGAATTCCCCAATTTGAATTCTGATCTTTATATTTTAGCAACTGTAGCCAAATTTTAATTGTCCTCTAAGATTTAACCCCTAAACCTGAATTTACGATTTTAATTTCAAAGAGTGTACAATTTTGATCTAAATCTTTATTCTTAAGTCGCAGATCATGATCAAGATTTAATCTTGATTTGCAGATCATGAACCAGATTGATGATCCATATCAACAGTTTTAAGTTATAAATCATGATCTAGATCTACATCACCTCCGTGGTTTATGATTTTCGCTGTTAAAAATACACTTAAACGGGTTGTTAGCTTTTTGTGGTTTTTCGAAGCATACAGCTTTTGAATTGTACCAGTTGAATATTATGTGACTAAAAGGAAATTTAATTTTACTTCATGAAAACAAAAATACGCAGCTGTCTCCTCTTTCACAAAATATTTAGTCCTTGTTATTTTACCTCTAGACTGGCGCTCTTTCATCAAAATGCAAGTAGTCTTTAATCAGGCCGACCATTTTTAATTGGATTGTTTTTAATTCTTACCAGGTGTCGTCCAGCTTTTAAACAAAATGGATGGAATGCCTTTCAATGAAAATGATGAGAATTTCTTTGAGGTATGAAGCGATTTCCTTAATATTTTGTCTCTGATTGAGAAGTGACCTGATTCCTTAAAAACGAGTTTATTAACGAGGAGTTATTGTGTAAGCAATATCAGCATCCTCCTGTAATTCATCAAGCATGGAAAGTTCGCGAAAAGTACAGAACTATCTAAATTTGTCTGGCAACTAAAGAAAAAATGGAGGAATTTCGATCAATTGGTCAATAAAGAAAGGACAGAGGCCTATTCTGACAAATCTAAACGGTATCAACTTTGTTTTGAAGAAAAACTTGTCACCTTTAATTTTAATAAGAATTCAGTCCTAAAAAAGAGGTCGGAGCTTATTTCAGAATGCCAACATAATAATAAGTTTCTGTTGTCTTACTGCCAGTAATTAAATGCATAATTGTCATTTAATTAACTCATTCGAGCATTGAAATTCCTGATACCTCCAGGGACATAACAACTGAATGTAATAACAACAATAGATATAAAAATTTGATCTATTGTGTAAGATATAAGGACATATATTTTTATAATAAAATAAATGGCACCTAGATTTAAGGCACTGATATTGAAAAAAGGTCCTAATAAAATAAAGATCGGGATTTTTTCGTATGTGGATTTTTGACTTATCGAAACATATTCAATTATGTTAATGAAAGATAATCGAACTTCGCTTAAGTTGATGAGGTATTGCCGGTCACAAATGATTCTTTTTACATCTTTCTTTGTATTGAATAATATTACAAAGTATAAAACGATGCAATAGTATTATTCTTACGCAGTACTGTAATTTTGTATTTTTTACGATTCTTACTGTAATATTGTATTGTGTTATCAGGGGATTATTTTGATATCAGAATTGTGCTGATTACCTCAATAAATGCAATTCAATCATAGGCGTTTGCCATATTCTGCGGCATGGCAATTCACCACACTGCAATGTATGAAGAATGTCAGAAAGCACTGGCAAGACAGAAAGTCGCTTTAGAAGTATGTTCAATTTTTATTCAACATAATCCTTTTCAACAATCTTCATACAAAATTTTCCTTAAGGTGCAAAAATATGCCGATATATTTAAGCTTGAGGTACAAGAATATGTCGATGATTCTCCTCAACAAATCAGTTGTGCACGAACATCATAAATCAACTAATCAATAGATCACTGAATCAACAAATCAATCAATCAATGACTCAATCAGCTTGATCGAGTAAATATTTCCAAATAGTTTTATTAGAATCAAATTCAATCAAAAAATCATTCTACTTCAGTCAGTTAGCTAGTCTTTTATGCACTAGTAGAAGTTATCCAAACATTTTGCAAAATCTAAATTAATATTTGGTACTATAGTTGTGTTTTATGATACTTTTAGATTCTTTCTTACCATGCAAGTGAGTCAGACGAGGAAACTGAAAAGCTGCTGGTATGAATCTTATATAAAAGATTTTTATGATGATGTAATTATTAGAATTAAGAAGATTTTTTGGTTGCAACAACCTTCAACACGTTTTCTATTTAGAGTATTATCTGCTTTAATAGCAATATCACCTTTCTACTCATTTATGCATCAAAATTATTCAATTGATTTATCGATGATATCGAATAATTAGATATTAAAACAATTTATTAAAACAACGATGTCAATTGATGTTAATATAAATAAAGGAAGAACAAATTGTAAGCAAACGTAAATAACAGCCACATAAAAATTACGTTTGTACAGGCCAGTGTTATTTTCCCGCTTCGTTAAATTTGACTACTTTGTTTCAGTATTTCGATCATACGTTTTCCCAATCAAAACCAATTAACCCTTTTTTGGTACAATACGACTTGCTTCTTTTTAAAAACATTCTCTCTTAGGTGCATAATCCCATCCCTTTATTAAATTCATGATGATGTCCCGTCTTTTCCATGGTTTCTTTTATGCAACCAATAGAGACTCTCATTTGATAATGCAAGCAAATTAATTATAGGATAATTGTTTTATACATCGAGAACGACCTTGAACGTGCCTCGTGATGTACAATGGTAATGGCTACGTATGTTTGTTGTCTAGGAAACCAAAGTGTCGTCCGTACAACATTACCAGCTTTCGGATTACAGATTCGATGACTTGCCGTTATCTGACAGAGAAACTTGCGTGGCTACACTTCGAGTATTTTTAGATCTACAGTTTTTACATCGATTTCATATCAGTTACCAGGTATGGTTTGCCCCTATCAGTTGTTTTGCAATTCACTGATCCTAATTCCATGTTCCCTATTCAGTTAGCTGTGATGGCTATGTATGTTTTTAACTCAAGTAATATTGGTAAGTTACTGTCAGATTGGAAAATTGGTGAAAGATGATTTTTATTGGTGCAATGATATCATAGGTAAAATTTTTCTGAACCGTTGCATATTTCCTCACCCCTTCTATCGATGTTATCGATGTTCTAAATCATCGACTGGCCATCCCTGCTCCAAATCAGTTTTCTTAATTGACTTAATATGATGCAAATTTAGAAGGATTTCTCGCCAGTATTTCTGCAAAGACAGATATTTGGCTGAAATTTTGAAATTTCAAAATTAGATTTTTTCTGTTAAATCGAATATGCTTATTTTCCATTTATTTGTTCTTTTTCAATTTAGACGTTATGCAAATGGGTTTTATCAGTAAAGAAGAATTATAGAAATGTGATATATCATAATTGGAGGCACGCGTTTAATGTCATGCAGATGATGTATGCAATGATAAAGGTAAGACCTCGTTCCTTGTTCACTTTGTTTCTTAATGCTTTATTTAACAGTTAAATCTAAGGCAAACAGATGTTTAAATTATGATCTCTCCTTATGTTGCATTCTTTTTTCTACTGGGGGGGCCTGGGAACGAAGTATAATGGTCGGTGATTGGATAGGTAGCGGTCCTGCAGTCAATGAGATCATAAGCAGGATAATTCTTCTTATATTCATTGAAATTGTCAGCCACTGGAGGCACTATCTAGGGTAGGGGGAGGGAAATGGTCCACAGGAAAGCAGTAGCCTCTGTTTTGAGGAATAAAGATTTATTTGTATACCTCCAAACGTAATCCCGTAGCAATTAATATTACCGCTAATTATATTCTTAACTTAACCATAAAATATTTGATATATCTTTATATATTTACATCTGTTAGCAGGCTAAGGACACAAACCTCATCACATCAATTTGGCAAAGAAATCAAACTGTGGTGTTAACAACAAAAATTTGTTGTTTACAATCACAGTATCTGCTAAAACACGAAATTTTTGACTGCAAACCAAATATTTTAGAATGCAAAGCAGGAAAATTTAATTTGCAGAGCATGGACATAAGTATCTTATCTGATCTACTGGTGTTTAGATGAAGGAAATAAACTGCCTTTTATGCTGGTCCGCAGAACGCTTTTTGTCATCAAAATATTTACATACTCAACATAGGTAGCTGAGCTCTCTCCTAAAATTCGCTAGAAAGGGCTCGAGCCCCAAAATCCCATTGTACTCCTCTTTTTAGGGTGAAATTTAAAAGATGAGTTCACAGTTTCTCATCTCAACAACTTTTTGCTCTTGTATGGCACAACTGGTAAATTTTATACAGAGTTTTTTTATTTTAAAGGACAATTATTGAAATTTGATCTTATTTCTAGCACACCTCGGAGCTGGATAATGCATTTACAGACGTCGAGAAACTGTGTCTGATAGTCGCCTGTTTATGTCATGACCTTGACCACAGAGGAACAAATAACACGTTTCAAGTGAAGTAAGTGCTTTAGTGCTGAAAAGTGTTTTGAAGTTCCTTACAGTTTGTTTTGCTTTGGCCTTATATTGTGGCTACTCCAAATGACGTAATTTTCATCTTCCTTCAGAACTGAATCAGCTTTAGCACAGTTATATGGAACTTCAGTCATGGAGCACCATCATTTCGACCATTGCATAATGATCCTAAACAGCCCTGTAAGTACCTAAATTTACCGTAAAGAACCAGAGTCTGTGCAGTTTGACATGGGCCGTATGCAGTAAAAAACTGGTGCACGTGGCTCCATTATGGCCGGGCTTAGTTTCTTTCCCTGGCCAGTTTTGTATCCAAAGCCTTTATCCGTTTTTATGTCAGCATGTTTATATAATCATTTATCCGACATTGATGCGTGTTAGCAATTGTGCTCTTCATGACAATAAATTTGTCTGACCATAGGATACTTGCAGATAGTCAAAGAAGATCATGTTTCAAGGAAGACTTTTATTTGTTCAGATGTTCTGACCATCTATAATTCAATTGCCTTTATAATGCTGATACTGGGTAATTTACACTAAATGGGGGGGGGGGAGGGGATTATATATACTCCCCACAGGTATCTGCGGTAACCCGGATTCAAGTATCTTGGTTGAAGTTGGTTATCCCATAACACTTTTTCCTGAAACCTTTCTTGTTAAGCATGTACACTCAGTGATTAGAATGAGATTTGCAGTACCGTCTTTTGATTACAAATGTTGCATAAGAACCCGAGAGAATGAAAAATGCAAGTGGTAGAATTTCTTTGTAATATCTTTGACCAACCGTTTGTTCTTATTCAGGGAAATGAAATTTTCCAAAGTTTGTCCACCGAGGAATACGGTGAAGCTATCCAGATATTGGAACAGGCCATTCTAGCCACTGATTTAGCTCTGTATTTCAAGTAAGTTTGGCTTTAAACCTCTTCTATATTGATCAATATGAAAATGCTAACAGATTGGGTCATAAAACGATGAAAGCTTGAATGGAAATGCCGTCATAGGCTTTGGCTGAATTGAAAATAATCATCCAAAGAGGCATGCACACCGAATTCTCCTTAGACTGAAAACAGGCCTAGTGCGTTTCCCAGAAAACGTCACTGGTGGTGATTGGAGAAAAGCAAACTGCTTGCTTTATGATTCGGCATTTTACAGGCCATTGCCTATAATCATTCATTGCTATCAAGCTATAAATGGTCATCACTATTATGACGTCAAAATTATGCCTGCAGTTGTCTTTATAGATAAGCTAAACATGTTTTTATTTCTACTTAAGGAATGTCGCTCTAGCGTTTTTCTTTTACCGTAGGAAAAGAGGAACTTTTTTCGAACTTATTAAAAGTGACCACTTTGATTGGATGTCTGAACACCATCGATCTCTTTTACGGTATGTTATTTATGCATAAATTCCTAAAATTATCATATCTTATTCTTTTAAATACATAATTACCTTGTTTATCTGATGATAGAGTCAAAAGCACCAGTAATGTGCAACATCATTTTCACTCTAGCAACCGAGTGAAAAACTGGGTTAAACAATTTATGATTTGGAGGGTGATTATGCTTTCTTAAAATTATTGCCAAAAGCAGCTGGGTTTGAAAGGACATGCCAGATGTCATCAAATAATAAAACTCCTATAGCGAAATAGTCCTTCGAAAAGAAATCCTATAAATAGTCTTCGAAATAGTCGTTTCTGTCACACTAATTTGCGTTTAATTCTGTCCACCCAACTGCAAGAAACAATAAATAAAAATAATTGTGCTAAGTATGCAAAAAGAGGGATGGCAGAGCAAAGCATTTATTTAATTTGTTTGTTAGACCTCTTTATTTTCCTTGTTATCAAACTAGTTCATAAATAATGACAATTTTCTTTCTATTCCACTATAATTGAGGACTTTTCTCCCGTTAAATTGCGTTCAATGCTCAACTGGATGTCACATATGTCACATAATTGCCGCTTTCTAGTCAACTAACATCGTTTTAAGGGAAAATCTATATTGTAAATTGATGAAGGTTTTTCTATTTTTTGACGCTGATTGTCTGTTTGTTGCAAGTAATGGTTTCGATTATTTTTCAGCTCAATGCTTATGACTGCATCTGACATCTCTGCAATAACCAAACCGTGGACGGTTCAACATAGGGTACGACTGTATTTCTTTGTTTACGTCATACGAATATGCCACTTTTGTCACTAATAACTTGCTCTCTGCAGTAAGTGGTTGCTTAGTCAACTATTGACGTTTTCTCTTCTCCTCTCTGCCCTCTTCTCTCTAACCCCATCTCTAGTTCCTGCTTTAGCCTTCCCCTCTCTCACTCCTTCACGTTTCATTTTCGCTTAGAAGGGTTGCTGGTAGTAATGACTGTCATTCTGGAATGTATCGAAATTGGGTGGGGAGGGGGGGAGGAGCATTTTTGTTCCATTGATAATAACCTTGTCAGCGAGACTTATAAAAAACCATCAGGTTACTTATTGTTGCTAAGTAACATCGTTGTTGTTAAGTAACATCGTTGTCGTTAAGTAACATTGTTGTTTTTGTCAATGTTGTGTGTAGTTGCGCTGCGATGCTGCTGATTTAACAAGAAAAGAACTGCGGCATCGTGTGTTGAATTACAAAAGGACTTGTCACCTTATTGTTGAATTATCGTCAATGAACCTTCAGAATACTTTGTTTCGTGTTTCTAAGGTGTTTTACGAACGTTGTTTGTTTTGCCTTGATGTGATTCAGTTTTTTAAAAGTTGGTTGTGAATATTATTAAATTGAGTTCACTGCTTTCCGATGTTTTATTACTGTGATCTCGACTTGAACGCAAACGGATCACTGGAGTATTTAGAAAATTCCTCACAGATACAACAGGAGTTAATTGTCAGTAGGATGCTATCATCATTTTACAAACAACTCACCTAAGAAAATCAACAGGTCGTATTCCACTTTTTTTATACAGCTTCAATAATCCGGTAAGCACGGTATTAGATTTTATTCACGTTCGATTTTAAGCGAAGCTATTATCATCATGTCGGAAACTGCAAAATTAATCGAATTAATGCAATTGCAAATTGCAAATCAGCAAAAACAAATGGAAGCTCAAGCGGCAGCTCATCAAGAACAAATGAAGGCTCTTCTCCATACAATGTCTTTTTCAGAATCAGGAACTGCACGTTTTACTTCTACATTACCTTCAGTACCTGTTTTCGAACCATTTGATTCTACAAGTGAATTGTGGCCTGACTACTACGATAGGTTTTTGACATTTTTTGGTGCACATAATGTTAATGACGATAGAAAGGCTCAAATTTTCCTAATTAATCAATCTAAGGATGTTTACCGGTTACTGGGAAATTTGGCAAAACAGCAGAATCCACCCAAGCAAATTAATGATCTTAGCATGGATGAAATTGTAAATTTCATGAAGACGCAATATGACCCCAAACGATTTGTTGTACACGAACGCTTCAAGTTTTGGAGTGATATGCGCAGAAAGCCAGGTGAAACGCTACAGGAGCTTGCGGCACGTATTCGCCAAGATGCTGCCACCTGTGGTTTTGCATCCATCAAGGATCCTCAGGATGAAGCACTCAGATCTCGTTTTATTTGTTCTGTAAACAATGAGGCAGTGCTTAAAGCCCTTTTTAAGGTCAAGGACGACGAACTTGATTTTGCTAGGGCTATTGAAATTGCCACAGAAACAGAGGATGCAGCTAAAGTGGCTAAAGACACGGTTTATGGGGCTAGGCCAAAATCTGTACACAAGGTCGCTCTACGGCCCTCTAACAAAGCAATGGAAACCAAGTCCAAGACAGGCAAATCAGCTTGTTACCGCTGTGGTGTTGAAACCCACCAAGCACCACAATGCCGTTTCAAGGACTCAGAATGCCACTTCTGCGGAATTAAAGGACACAGCTCGAAGGTATGCAGAAAGAAAAATTCTGCAACTATTAAAAGCTCAAAGACGCCGGTAAAACTCATCCATGAAATCAAAGCA